CTTGCGATTTGTATTGTTTATTCTTTTAACTGATACTTGCATTTTATTAATTAAATATACATATGTTGTTATAAAGAGTATGATGATATTTAAATCTTTCAAAGGTCAATTTCGGGAGTTACGTTATATATTTTTTCATTTAATTTCGTTTCGCTATAAATCAAAATGGACATTAAAATCCAAGAGTTTAATTTTATTATATTGTGTAAAAATTTCAATATATCGATATAGAGTAAGCTTTTTAAATTCACCAAACATTTCCTTTAATTTTTTTTCGTTTTTAATTTAAATATAAAAATTAATTTTTGAATTTTCTCACAAATGTTTCAATTTTATATGTTGTAGTCGGTTTTATGTTCACAAATGGTATCTGTTATTAAATTCCTTGTTAAAATGGATAGGAAAAAAAATTGTGTGAATATTCGATACGTAATGCAGAATTCCATGGTGTATTCTCATTATAATAAATTCTAATTTGCGTTGTCATTATTATTGTTAATTTTTTATAACTAATCCTTTGTTATTATTGGTATTATTGCATAGTAAGAGTCTATGTCATCTTGAAAATTTCCGAACTTACGAATTATGCATTGCGAAATCTATTATGATTTTAATTATCTCTTGCAATTATATAATAGAGCTGAGTGAACCAACTCAATGTTGTAAGGTGAGCTTAAGATGAACCGAAATCTATCCGAGCTCCGTCACAATCCAGAATGTGACCTGCATCGGGTGGGTCCAATTCCTAGTTCTAATTATTTTATCTTTGCGCGATAGTACTTACTTGTACAATAAAGTTAAATTTTTATAGTTAATGAATGATATATTCACGTTCGCCACCAGTTCCAATACTATACAAAAACAATTGCGTTGATTTTACCATATCTTTTATCAATATAACCACTTTTTGGCAGTATTAGTGTCGAAATCATTTCGGTCTTATTGGTATGTTGATTTGCGTGATATATATCTAATTTTATTGTTAACGTTAAATTTAACATTATTTGTTAAATTTTATTATTATGATTTTTCAAGCCGTTAATTAATGGCAATAAATAAAACTTATATCGAGATTTCAAATTACGTAATTCATAACAACTTATAAAGTCATGGCTATTCCATGTAATGTTACCGAAGTAACCATAAATTCCGTAATCCCGTAATTTTTCCCCAATATGGGAATTGCGACTACATTTGGAATGGTCGGCATTCGTTAGCACATTATTGCAATTCTCGCAACAATTCAACGTTCCACGATTATCAACGATAAACGCTGCACGATTATCATCGACAAAATTAAGACACCTCGAAACAATCAAAATTTAACGATAACAAACTTTCACGACAAATAATGATAATGTCTCACGTCTCGTCAGTGTTGATAAATGACCAGGTCATTTAACTCTAAAATAATGACCCTCAAATGATCTTCAAATGACTAATGACAAATGATCTAGTCATTCAGAGGTCATTTAAAGTCATTTAGTCATATGATAACTATCCAATAACTTTAAACTAAATTACACGTAATTTTTTCTTGCTTCCTTGGTAAAAAATGACCAAAAACCCCATAAATTTAGACCTTACTTCAAATTACTTGATATAAAAACAAGCAAAAATGCCAATAAAAAAGCTCTTGCAAGAGCTGTGAAAGAAAACTTACTTATCACTTGCAGTAAATAATCCTTCTTGTATAGTTCCCTAAATTGTATCGTGCATATTTACAAAAATATGAAAACTTTAAAGCTTTGTATTCTTCTGAACAACAAGAAGCAATATTGACTTTGTCAATTCCAGAAGATAAAAAAACAAAAGGCAAAAATCCAGGTATATAAATTATAGTTAGTTTATTATTTTTATCATTTTAATAATTATATAATTTAATTAAATTAACATCTATAATAATATTAAGTTAGATAATAATTATTTAATCTCTGAAGATGATGATTATAACTCAGATAATAATAAAGATTTATCAACCAATTCTTGAGAATTTTTTTCTCACATTCATTGACAAAATATAAATATACATATTTTGAAAACTTACTATTACAAATGATTATATCAAATAGTTTTTCTTTTACATTTACCAAAAATCAAAAAATAAAAATCTTATTTAATTTTATAGTACCAATCTTAAAATTACCTGGCCATCAAATATTGAATAATTAAATTTTATCAAAGTTAATTCTCCAATTACATAAATTGATTACCAAAAAAGTACAATAAGATTCAATTAGTATCATAATATCTTTTAATAGTTGAATAAATATCAAGTAAAAATATTTATTTGATGTAGTACTTCTAATATTACAAGATAAATCACTAATTTAAAAAGTATATAATATTAATATTGAGCAATCTCAAACTATTAATATTATAAATTATATTATAATTATTATATAAGAAGTAATAAGTGAGAATATAAAAATTAATTATTTATATCAGATTCAGTAGATAAATATGCTACTATCAGAAAAATATTTTTTATATAAATTAATTTAATTTAACAAATTATTAATTAATTTTTTAAATAAATAAAAAATATAAGTTGAATATCTATTAAATATTTTTATTCTATATATAATATATTAAATAAACTTGATTATTAGTAGATATCTTTAAAGAATCTGTAATTTATAAAAAGATATTAAATAATATAATCTGATTAGCAAGTTAATTTTTATTTATCTTCTTGCTTTATTAATTATCTTCAAAATAAATAAAAATTATATTATAATAAAACTATATCTTTGGCTATATCAGGAGAAATATAATAGAATAATTATTATTTTTATTTAATAATATATTAAAACTATATTAAATAAATTTAATTTTTTATTAATATTTATTAATTATTATCAATTTATATTAATTTCTGATTAATAAATTTATATTAGAAAGAATTAAAATAATAAGGAACTTATAAATTAATCTTATTTATTAATAATATACTTCTATAATAATTAATATATTTAATATTTTTAGATAGTACTTGACATACTTTACAAGTATAAATTATATAATAAGTGAAAGAAATATAATATAATATAAAATATCTTGAATATTTTATTTTAACAAATAATATTTTAATAAATCAAAGAAAAACTATTACTATTAAAGATTAATTTATATTAATAAATATATTAAAATTTTATTTTTTTCTAGAACTTATAAATTATTATAGAAAATTTATAAAAAAATTCTTAATTATTATACTATTTCTCATAGTATTTTTATATAAAAATAAAGAATATAAATAATCTATACAAGTGCAATAAGTTTTTAAAAATTTCAAATAATATTTTATATTAATATTAGTCTTATTATTATTTAACTTTAAATTATTATTTACAGTTCTTACAAATATTTTTGATTTTGTTATTAGAACTATATTAAGCTAAAATCAAGATAAGAGTAATAATAACTTGATAAAAAGTTTTCTCAAAAATATAATTAAAATAACTAATAATTATTTAACTGACAAAAATCTAATAATTAATACTGATATTATAGAAATCTTTTTATTAATATTGCTAATATTATAATAATCTTGCTAATTGAATAACTATCAAAGTTCATAAATTATTCTATATTAAATTTAAAATAAATAAAGACTGAATTAATAAAATTAAATAAGAACTCTTTATTAATATTAGAATAAAAAGAAATTTTAATTCTTATTAATCTGCTTTATAATAAATTTATCATAATTCTTAAATTAAAAGATATGAAAAATATATAGATAAATATTATACTAAAACTTATTTCAAGATAAATAAAAAAAAAGTAATTATCTGTAATAATTATATCCAAAAAAAATAACTAAATCTTTCTGCTTACTTATAATATGATAAATATGATAAATCTAAAAATATATTTATCATTAAAAGTTATAAGAAAAAATATTTTTATATTTATAAATATTAATATATCTTATAATTTAATTATAAAAGATGAAGAAAGAATACTAAAATAATTAATAAACTTAGAGAATAAAAAATATTATTAGAAGTTTATGATGAATATTGTAAGATTATTTTGTTAATAAGATAAAATATAATATGAACAGTTTTAATTTTATAACTTATAATTATTTTTATTATTTAAAAGTATTCAGATCTGAGAGAAAATTACA